ATACTCAATTGCTTTGAAATTCTTTGGATTTGGTTTTCTGCATTTTGACACAAAATGTTTATCTCGGTACTCGTCATTTGTTTGATACTCAACATAGCAGCTGGAACTTCCCAGCACTTTCTGCCTTGTAATTTACTACATTGCTCCCAAGGGGAAAATGTCTTTGGCACTCACCAAAGTTTCTGGTACTTACTGAGAGAGAGAGAGAGAGAGAGAGAAGCGCGACAGGCCTGCCTGCTTGGCTGACTTGTTTGTTTGCTTGCAGTTTGTCTATTGCCAGGTCTGCTGTGAGCCTTTCCACAAATTCTGTTTAGAGGTTAACGAACGGCCCCAGGAAGACCAGTTGGAAAACTGGTGCTGTCGCCGCTGCAAGTTCTGCCATGTGTGTGGAAGGCAGCATCAGGCCTCCAAGGTAACTCCCTTCGCTTTCTGACGCTCAGGACGTTGTGAGAACCTGGGGCAGAGCTGAGGGGCCCCGGACAGGCCCCTTGGAGCCTAAAATGCTGTGTGGCTTTGTGTGACGCCACGGCTCTTTTCTGCAACCCCACAGCAATTGTTGGAGTGCAATAAGTGCCGGAACAGCTACCACCCAGAGTGCCTGGGACCCAACTACCCAACTAAGCCCACAAAGAAGAAGAAAGTGTGGGTATGTTTTTCTGGGGAATCGGGGGGGGGTGTCTCTCAGCAGACTTTGTTGCCCAAACAAAATAGAAGAAAGGGGGGAGGAAGGAGAGTGGGTGTGATTATACAGATCCCTGGAGAAATGGACATTCTCACGTACCCCTTTTGTATTTTGGTCTTTTATTTTACTGTTGTGATTTCTTCTCCTTATTGGATATTGTGTTCTTAGGGGGGAAAAAAGCTTCTTTTTCTCTTTCTAGATCTGCACCAAGTGTGTTCGCTGTAAGAGCTGTGGGGCGACAACTCCAGGCAAAGGGTGGGATGCACAATGGTCCCATGACTTCTCCTTGTGTCACGATTGTGCCAAACTCTTCGCTAAAGGTGCAAAAGGGCCGAATGCTATTGAGGACCAAGGCCTGGGAGGGTTGGCAGCCATTCCACCCGAAGGGAAAGTCTTGCTTTTCCACCTGGCCTTAGAAGGGGGATGGCGGACAGCTTCCTAGGTAGAATTGCACACGGCCTGATTCATTGATCACACTAAGACTTGCACTGTTTTAACGGTGGTTTGTTAAATAACCCACCATAAGCCCCGTTTTACCTGTATGAACTGAGAAGGGTCGTGTGTGTCGTTCCCCCCCCTCCCACCCCCCGGTCAGCCAGCGACAGGACTTGCCAGCAACCGTTCTTGCAGCCCCTGCTTGAGCCCACCTCCTCGTTTTCTGCTCCTTGCAGGGAACTTCTGCCCCCTTTGTGACAAGTGCTACGATGACGACGACTACGAAAGCAAGATGATGCAGTGTGGGAAGTGTGACCGCTGGGTTCACGCCAAATGCGAAGACCTCTCTGGTGAGGAACCGCATTTGCGGCCAACAGGCGCCGCCCTTAGATTACTTTGGCAGATCACCCTGCTTTAAAAAAAAAAAGAAGGTGGGGAAACCCTGCAGGAAAGGTATCCAGAAACTCCTCCAATGCTCACAGACAGAAATGATTGACGGTGTCAATCTGTGCCTTGAGCCAGTTTTAGAAAGTCTGGCGGTTGTCTTGGATCGCGGAAGGTGAGCGGAAATGCCGTGAGGTGGTTTGGGGAAGGGTTAGTCTACTGAAACTAGCAGACTCCCGTATAAACCCCCGCTCCAGATGCCCAGCAGGGCACATTCCTCTCAGTTGGCGTCAGTTGGCTGAGTTGGCAGGCGCCACATTTTTCCGATCCTGAGACTTCGGAACATGGTCAAGCCCTTATCCTCCCGCCCCTCTTTCCTACCACTGCACCAACACACCCTTCCGGCACCCAGGAAACCATCGCCATTTCTCTCTCCAGATGAGATGTATGAGATCCTCTCTAACCTTCCAGAGAGCGTGGCTTACACCTGCATTAACTGCACCGAACAGCATCCTCCCGAATGGCGGCTGGCCCTCGAGAAAGAGCTGCAGCTCTCTTTAAAGCAGGTTTTGACAGCCCTGCTGAACTCTAGGACGACCAGTCACCTGCTGCGTTATCGGCAGGTACGTCCACCTTTTTTCTTTCCCAAACTAACAAACCAACTCCGTGTTTGCCTGTCTGTCTCTTTAGGAGATGTTGGTTGTTGGAAGTACAGAATTTCTAGGGGCGGGGGCGGGGGGGGGGAAGCAGAATTAGCTAAGCATCACACAATCTGAAGTCAATTCTGTGCTAAGAACTGAAGCTTTGGTATCAACTATCATCACAATTCATATGCCAAGGTGGCGCAGTGGTTAAATGCAGCACTGCAGGCTACTGCTAGATCAGCAGGTCAGCGGTTCAAATCTCACCGGCTCAGGGTTGAC